TGCTGGGTTGGGCCCGGGCGTGAGGCACAGGGGCATGCTGAAGGCGCGACCGCGAGCCGGCCAAGACCAGGGGTGGTGACGTCACTGCTGCCGCTGCCGTTGCTGTTCATTGTTCAAGTAGGTTCTTCTTTGCTTCCAGGCCACAGATCGTCTTCTTTTCTATATGTTGTTGTTGTTGTTGTTGTTGAAAGATTGTACCGCTTGGAATTTTTACGTATCCCCGATGAAATTTCACCAACTGATATATTTTAAATGTTGTCTCACTAGATTTTAATTGATTGGATTCGTCCTTCAAACTGCGTAGCAAATAATTTCAAGATCTATATTTGAAAAGAATATAAAAAAGACATTTTAAGATCCATATTCGTAGAAGAATCCATTTTCTAAAATTGACTTTGTGGCCGTTGAGCCGAATGTACGAGTTTAATCGGGATACCAATTTCTTACAAAACTGAATATATACTGTAAAATAGGAATGCTCTGTCGAGTTGGAAAATTTTGTCAATTGCCATCGACTGATATACAAAACAAATGGAGCACTCTCGCGCTGTACGCAACAACTGGATAGATAACCATCGGCTGCGACCCTGTGTTCAGCATGCGCAACCCCTACGTCATTCAATATCACGTCACCACGCGTACGGTATCAGTGACAGTCTAAGTTTCAGTCTAAGTCAGTACGGTGGGCTACACGCACGATAGGCGACTGAAGGGTAAGGCGCAAATATAGTCATTCCTTCATTCCCCAGTTTCCTCTTAAAATACATTTTTTCGTCGAGAGGGGCTTACTGTGTTTGGAGACTTCGCCTAATCTTTCCAATGGAAAAGGCGATTCACAGCCTGCGTAAAATAAAACGCCAATTGCGTAGCATCCATTGATCGTTGCAAAGAGCAGACACCACGACTGGAGAGTTAGTGTGCTATTCTTTCTTCTCGCAGGATAAAGGTAATCTCTGCCCTAATAGTGCGTTTTCAAAGATATGTTTGTATCCGTACACTACAATTAGATTCTATATTTCCATGCCCAGATCGGGCTTCAAACTCCAGTCATTCTAGCGCATATTCTTCAGAACAAAGCGATTTCACAGTAGATTTCTTCAAGAGTGTTCAGTTTCTTCTGGCTCATATTTCACAATCACTCCATTATCATCGAAATCTTCACCATTTTTTGGAATTTTCAGGTATGGATATCATACTAAATTAAACCCAATGAACTTAACTGTACTGTACGTTTCTGAAATGGTTTTGGTAGATTCTGGGATTGCAATGAAAACCCCGGTTCAATCTTCTTAAAATACTTTTTTTTAAATTTTTGTTACAATGTTAATAGTGTGATACGTAGTTTATTTGCGATCTTCAAGGGACCAACGAATAATTTAGGATATTTATTGTGAACTAAAATACTTTGAGACCAAATGGTCTGAATTTGCAATCAATACTCTAAATTATAACACTTTATATTGTATTTAGTCCAATATTGTGAAGATTCGGAAAGTAACAAGTCTATGTTCATAAGAGAACACGAAAATACTATAATAATTATGGTTATTACTTCCGTGAAAATATGGAAGTGAGTTACGCTTTGATCACTTTATACAATTATCAAAGTATCACTTACTAACATGTATACGCATAAAGGAATATTTCATTGGAATATTGTTTAACAGTCTCCGTTATGACGTGCAACTATTTTCGTCAAAATACCTAGTATTTTCATTCTTTACGTTTTAATTGCTGTCAAAATATAGGTATTTGAATAGACATAATTTATTTGAATGGCAAGTTTTCCTCAGGTCTATTTGCGCAAAGAGAACAGACAAGAGAAAGTGCTGCATACATTTTTAGTTTCTGTTTTCACGGAACTTTCTGAAATTTTATGATCTATGATGATTGCCGTCACGCAACTACGTTTAGAAACGTTCCAACTTTGTATTCTTTAACGAAACGCAAGTATAAAAAGTATGCTACGAACAACATAAGTTCTATATTCGTGGTGATATACACCACGACATATCAAATGAGAACGCAAGTATTAAATATATGCTAATCAACATATGAGACATTGAGCTATAGAATCCTTATGACAATGTACAAGATAATTTTTGTTATATTCATTGAAATTTCACACGCCAGCCAGTGCAATGAAAAACATAAACAATTGCCAAAAATTGCCAAATATATCTTGTTATTTTAAATGTATAGTCAGAAAAACTTTGTATGTATTGACGATCGTATTGATAATACTGAATTGACAATTGTATTGATTGAATTTGAGAGCACACGTTGTGTTTATTTGAAGATATTCAATATTTTTTACGCGTTATTTGATGATTGAGGAAACCATACATCCATTTTTTTTTCATTTTTCGCAGAATATTTCCCGTTTTAGTTACTATATAATTTTCAACAAGCTATGAAGACAATTATTGTATATAACAATTGGCTTCGTAGCTTGAAGACAGTAGAAGGAACAACATTTTTATTCCTTTTTATTTTTTAACTCTATTTTAGTCACGATCATTTTATTTTCAACGAAACAAAGAGCAGGGTAATATCGGGAACATAAAATACGGAATTGCTGGCTGTCAACTTCGCTTCAGATTTAAAAATGTCAATTTTACTTAGTAAAATCCACAAAGAGATTTATGATAAAAACTACGTTTTTTGACCTGTGTAAAAAGATTAAGCTTTGCCGTGTCACAATGAATCAAGTGTCATAACTGACTTGTAAATCTTCAACAATGAAATTGTTCCAATCAGAACTAAAATGTAGAGAAAATATCTCGACAAACTGAAGAGAAAATTACATGAAGATTGGCATTGCATTTCTTTGTTCGATTATGTACATTTAGTTAAGAATAATTACGTAAAAGCTATTTATCTTACCAATAAAGTGGCAAATGCGTAACTGGAATTTCCACAGCCAGTATAGGAAAATAATTATTACATTTAATATTATTCTCTTGAACAAAACCCTAAGCACATATTTTAAAAGTGTTGTATTTGTAACGCATAATATTTAAATAAAATTTACAATTTGACGATAATTTTTTTTAAATTTTCATTTAAAAAATTAAAATCCTGACTTATTTTAAGGATGAATTGTAAAACAGAAATACAACTTGTAACCAAAAGATACACAAAGTTTATAGGTATGTATTCAATTTCTTTATACCCTGTATCGTCCATAACTCCTTTGTACGGAATTTCTGCACCAGGTTTGTTCAGTCCCTTTAAACTTATACTTCATTAACGAATGCTCTTCCAATTCGTGGCAAAGTGCCACACGCTAACCATTTCACCATCCCTTGGCAATCGCTTCTGCTCTGTGAAGGTTGAAGCCGAACTGAACTTCAAGTTGGGCAGCGACGCGCTCGTCGGTTCGGCAGCGGCAACAGCAATGCGGCAGCGGCAGCGGCGACGGCGGGCCGGCGCGCGGTCGCGAGACAGACAGAGCGAGAGATAGAGACAGAGAGACAGTGTGGACAGAGATGGTGCGATACTACTGTAGGTTCGATGCGGTAATCGGTGTCGATGCTAAAAGGAAAAATTATGCTAACGTGACATTTTCTAAACTGAAGCATCAGTATCCAAGATTCGACTGGAATGGATATGTGATTAAAGAACAAACTGATCGACTTCTGTACATTAAAAAAATATATAAAATTATTCAGACTAGTTTATAGTACAAAGGTCAATTAATTTCCTTTAACATTAAACAACTATTCGTTCCATATTTTACGTGAAATATTCACAGCAAATAATAGGTCAGGTCAGTAATTATTTTTCGATAAAGCAACTGCCGTTGTAGTATCGATATCCGGATGTTATCAGTCACTCATTATCGATATTGGTATTACTAATATAGATATTGATCTTTACCATCCATGATTATCGATATTGATACTACCAATATAACTATCGATATTCCTAAAATAACTCGATATTATGAATCTACAATTCGAAACCCTTCTTCAGTATCTTTTTTTTTACCTAATCATTCAATTCGGTTACCGAATCAGGCTAATCATCGAACTTGGACGAGTACCGACTCCGAACGCACCCAGCCAGCGAAGTCAGCGTTATCCGCACGGCCTCTGCGCGTGGCGGCGGGCGGGCGGGCGGGGCGTGTGAGAGGCGGCCTCGTGTGAGGGCGCGGGGGCGCCGCGCGCATGCCAGTCGCGGCGAGGGGCCCTGGCCCCAGCGGGGCGAGGGTCGGTGCGGATGGGGCGGGCGGGCGGGCGAGAATGCGCGTGTGTGGGCGGGGGCGGACACATCCTCATGGCGCGCGTGGCCTCGTCGCTTCTCGGCAGGGGATTCGCCAGCTACAGCTAGAGACACACTATCGCTATCCCGCTAACCGCTAGATCGCTATCCGCTAACAGACTATCCATGCAGGGCCGCGCTTTTCGCGCCAGGGGCGCGCCCGACCGCTGGTCGCGGGCGCGGCCCGTCCACCACCCGTCACCATGGTAACCGTCAATCATACCACCAAATTAGCCTAGGTTGTAAAGAAACATGTATACAGTATCATCACCATCACAACAAAAAAAGCGTGCACAAAAAGAATTCACTAGGAGCTCGGGTGACAGACAGACAGACAGACAGACGTAACTAAATGCGCAGGCGACAAGCGACAGCGACAGAACAGCGCTGAAGGTGGTAAAATGATTAGATGTAATGTAGAGCAAAGTATGCCAGAGCCAGAGACGCAGACATATCCCAGCGGGAGCCACCGCAGGCAGATCGAAGGTCGCGCAGGCAAGGCGGGTGCGGAGGGCTGGGTCGGCGGGGTAGCGTCGGTGGGTCGTTTAGCAAACGGGTGCTGCCCAAGGCTGCAGTCGGACGCGACGGGCGAAGAGAGACACACGCGAGGGCAGCGGCGGGCCGCGGGGGCGGGGGCGGGGCCGGAAGAGCTCGGTGGCGCCGCCGAGGAGCCCTCAGCCGCCGCCGCCACTTCGCCGCCCCCGCCGTTCCGTTCCGCGGCCAGAGCGGGCGAGCGCGGGGCGGGGCGAAGGCGAGGGGGGAGGGCGAAACGAGCGCCGAAATCGCCACCGACCCGCCCGCGCGCGCCGGAGGAGGGACGGGGCGGGGAAGTGCAGGAGACGCTGAGGCGGGGTCGAGACGCGGCTGACGCCCGTCGACGAGCAGATCCCTTAAGGCCGGTCCTTCGGCCCGACAGCCCGGGTTCAACGTAATCGCACAGAAAGATCGGAATATTATGAATAGCGTGAGAAATACGCAACAGCCGTGGTACATTTCGGGCCGGGGTTTTGGATGTAGTAGACAATTCTGTTTGTTGTGCGAGCAACAGCCTTAGAAGAGCTCCCAATTTTAAACTTTTGACACCATCTACCTATATTGGGTATTAGTAATAATCCCTCCAAGGGATACGATATACAGTATATACCGAGAAATCCGCGAGACTGACCAGCTAAGATTCAATTTTAACACTTGATCCTTAAATTAGAACATTACCGGTCTACGGATTCTATGGAGATTAGAATATGCAAATCAGTAGAGACCTTATTATGACCCTCCAATAATCATCATAATAAAACTACATAGAAATATTCACTGGATACAGCAAACATTTTTACAGAAAATAGTAAAATTTTTTATTAACAAACAATTGGTAAAAAATGTAACTGAAACGGTATTTAAGGTAACTCGTAAAATAAAGTGCAAAAGTAATGGCTGATTGCTTACCAACTCAATAAGAATGGAGAAATGTAAGTCGAAATTCGGGTGTATAATAAGTACGACCCAGAACCAAATTTCAAGTAGATATCGGTTAATTATCAATAAATCGTACCATTTTCAATTGGTACGCAAATACAATAAAATATCTACTCGTACGTATTGGTTGTCCCCGAAGAAAATATGCATTTGTGTCCCATAGATAACTTAGAGATTCCAACGCAAATGATTGTTAAGTTATTCCACACGTTTAGAAAGGTCTACTGTTGTATCATATTTGGACGTCCCAAAACTATACGAATTGAAAATTTAAAATTTCAAATAGATAATATAATAATAATATTAATATTATATTTTATTATATTTTATTATTACAAAATTCATTTCCAAATAAAAAATTCCTAGGCCGCTAAAATTGCATATCGGATGGATCGATCTGTAGTATTCAGAGAAATATTTTCCTGTAAGGCAACTATGAAAAAAACAACCGCTTTTCAAAAATTTCTCCACAAAAAATCCGAACAATTTCTTGGACGGGGTCTGGGCAACTGAGCTGCAAGGCTCCAGAAGACCGCAAAGGGGCGGTCTGCAGAAGGCCAAAAAGGCAGGCGAGTGGATCTCCAGGGCCCACGGAACCGTCGCATGGCAGTGGCGTGGGCCGGAGGCTACAAGGCGCGGGGGCCGAACGCGAGCGGGGCGAGCGTCGGCCCGTCCACAGCGTCGGCTTCGGCGTGTGAGGACGTTGTTGCCCACCGTCGTCGGTCCCGGACTCCCGCTGCGCGTCCGAACTTCCGTCGGCCACTCTGCAGTCGCACGTTGTGTTAACATCACTCAACAGACCGCGAGCGCGTGCGGCTCGCGACGCACGCGACGCGGCGCTGCGTAACCACACACAACCAGCAGAGCACTACTAGCCGACGGCGGCAGCCAGTCCGGGCATTTCGCGCTTGGGACGGGGCGTGCGGGGCGAGGCTGAGGGCGAGGCAGGGCTCGCAGTCACATCCAGGAAACAACAACCAGAGCGAGTCGAGGAGAGCAGAGAGCGTCCCCCCAGGATAACACAGTCGTACACGAGGGAGCACAGAAGACAGAACACAGTAGAAAGAGAGACAGTGAGAGAGTTAAGACAGACGGCAGAACAAGATGCTACGGGGTCCCGCGCGGACCCTGATGGTACGGCCGCTCGGCCCGCGGAGCAGCGGCGGGCGCGGGCGCGCGCGGGGCCGGGCGGGCGCGGGCGCGCGCGCCGACGAGCTCGCCTGCGCCGGCTGCGCCTCCCCCTGCCGTGTTGCCAACTCTTCCCGGCAGCGAAGGCGACGACCGCGGCGGGACCTGTACGTGTGGAGCGGGGGAGCCACAGCGGACATCGGGGAGGCCACTATCTAACCATCAAAACGAGAGAGAGAACACTACACAAGAGTGGTGGGGGATTCACATTCTAGTTAACACTTTGCTAGAGAGATAAATTGGCTAAATGAATGCGTTTGCAGCTCTGGCCGAATCGAAAGCGTTCGGATGGCAGTTTACGTGCAGCCAGCTGGCGGCTATGTCGTGTACCGTGCGGTCGTCGTGTGGAGCGGGGGGGGGGGTAGAATGAAATGGAACCTTTTTTAAGGCGAGCACCGGTACGAAGAGCAATGGAAAGTAGCTGGCGCCGTCGAGGCCACAGGCCGATCGTGCTGGGTCTGTCGCGCTTCTCTATGGGCAGCTGCCCAGTCCTCCGCAGCTAGCAGCGGCGGCCCGAAATTGCAATCCTGGGCATGGGGCCCGAGTCGCGACCGCACCCCCCTCCAGCCCCCTCCGCCTCTTTGCAGTCTCCGTTGCTTTCTCATGCCCCCCAACCACCAATCACCCCCACCAGCGCTTTCCTTCCTTCCACCTTTCCCTCTTCAACCTCCACCACCATCCTCACCTTCCCGGTCCCTCATGTCAAATTCCCCTCTGCCCCTCCCCTCCGCCCTAAGGCACTTACTTGCCGCTTGCCACCCCCGCGGGCGCGGGAGGAGGGCGCGGCCGGCGCGGCCGGCCGCGGCGCGGCGCGGGGGCGGACGCGATCCAACGCCGCCCACGCCCCCCGCCCACCGGCCCCGCACTCGCGATCCTATCCAGCTTCCCAGTTCCGGAGCGCCACCTCACTTCTCCAGGGTCGTTTATGCGCGCTCCTTCCTTTCCAGAATTGCCGTCAGCGTACTGTTAGACGCCGCCCACTGGAATTTTGAGGTGCGGGAATGCTTTTTCTAACTGCATCTGAGCGTCTTTAAAGTGTCTCTTGGTGGGCACTTTAACTCCTGAATACCTAGCAAAAAAGCAAAGAATAGACACAGTGGAGTTGACTGTCCCGATCTAGCACTACAGAAGCAGCAGTGCGCCGCGCGGCCGCCGGACGCGGGCGGCCGGCCGCCGGGGGCGGTGGGCGGCGGGGTCGGGGGCGGGGGCGGCGACGCCACGCCGGGCTGCTGCCGCCGCCGCCCGCGGCGCGGGGGCGGCGCCCTCGGCGCGGGCGTGCGCGCGGCGCGGACCGGCCCGCGCCGGCCCGCGCCCGCCTGCGCTACCTACTCACTCGGGCTACCAGAGCTCGTCAGAAATGCTGTGCCGATTATGGGGCCAGATTTCTCTCTCTCTTTTGGTTATTTTTTTTACACTGATCAGTAGATCAGCAGTAGCTAGCTGAGTGTCCATCAACAGCCAATAGGCATCAAGAGCAGGAAGCACGCGTAAGACATCTGGCGTCCGCGGAAGGACGCTGCACGTACGGCTAATCCGTACATTTAAGAGTACACGTCTTTTTTTGTTTACAGAATTTTGGATCAATTTTGACTTTTTGGTTTCACCGGCTTCGCCAGAAGAGAGAACCACGATTGCGGACGGGTACGGCAGACACAAGTCTACCACAGAAACACAAGCTAACGGCCGAGGGCCGGGCGCCGGGGCGCGCGGGGGGGCGTGCCCTCCGGCGGCGGGCCCGGAGCCGCCGGGCTGCTGCGGGTGTGCCCGGCCGCCCGGGGTGGGGGCGCGGCGAGGCGGGGCGGGGAGACTGGTGTCGGTGGGCGGGGCGGGCGGGGCTGCTCGCAGGAGCAGGCCGGAGTTCTGCGCTGCGGGTTTCTGCGGGTGGTTGCAAGGTTCTTGACGACTTCTTCGGCTCCTCCGGAAATGTTTGGAGTTGCAAACTTTTCTGAGTTGGTGTGAGGGAGAGGCAACAGTTTTTTCTGTGTTTACCAGTGTTACGTATTTTCAATTAACACGATAATGACCTAATTTTGTTCGTTATAATTTTCAGTGTATTTGTTCAAAATTGATTGTGAGGTTTTACATATATCATAAAGTCAACTTGAAAACATAAAAAAATGTGGTTTTCGGCTTTCACATGGAACAACAGTATTTGAGTAGCACCTCCTCTTTACCAACTCCAGAAATGTAATTAATTAATAAAACCAGTACCAATGTAAGGTTTGAAGCTCAGTCCAAAATTTTCAAGGAGCAGAAGAAGTCATCAAGGATTATCGCACTGTCGTTTAAAAATTAATTTAATTGTTTGACTTGAAAACGTCCGTGTAGAATTTGGCAAAGGGTGTGCAAGTGAAAAAAAAGAGGTCTGCAGAAGGGCTCCTCAGTGGCAGCCCTCGCCTAGATCACGGAGGGATAGTTCGTGTCGTGGAATGTCGCTATTCTTGGTTTTCCTTTCCTCTATTCTCTTGTTAGGGGAGACGCCCGCTGCCCGGCGGTACACACAGGTCTGTGCATCAAGTTACTCACTCGCTCAGTCTTACAGAGTTCCTGTTCTCGATGTCTCACTAGAGTCTCATAGTGACGGACTTTGTCCTCACTTTCTATCAGTCTGGCTTGCAGAGTTTGAATGGCCACTCTCTCTTCATCTAGCATTTTACCACCTACAAACATCCAAAGCAACAGAAAAGTTGTAAAAAACATAAATCAGGGGAGCCACAGATATGGGGCAACATAGGCAAAAAACAAAAAACAAAAAATGAGGGCAAACACTGAGAGAGGGGGTGAGTAAGTCGGGGCATTGGTGCTACGAGAGGGTGAGGATAGGGTGTCGATGGCGTATGTGGGGCGAGGGTTGGCTGGTTGAATGTGTCGGCGCTCGCTCTGACATGCGCCCGAACCAGAACGGAGGTGATGCGAGGGGGTGCCCTCGCCGGCTCACCGCAGTCCTAGGTGCTTCGTAGCATAATTTTCCACACCGGTGTTGTAGGATATCGCAAAATGTGTACGCGGATTGCGCTTGTATTCGCTCGTAATGGGTAGTTAAGGCGCTCGCAGCGTGCAAAAAGCGCACCATTTGCATTCAGTAAAGATATAATCTCTCTCACGAAGACTACGTTTGGCCCGTCGGCAAAGGGTGCTTAAGTTATATTTTCACTCCGCAATCAACGAGCAATGAAATTATTCCCGTCGTATTTGATATGCGTGACGCTTAAAAGATCCGCGAACCCTGTCGTAAAATACTGAACCAACATAAAATCCCTCCTAGCGTGTGAGTCGACGTGAATCGATCCTCGACACGTCGCTTTGTTGCGTGCGGAACTGCACAAAGAAAGCCGTTCCGTTGAGGAACGTCGCGCGGTGAAGGTTCATCGGAAAACGCTTCGCGCACCGACGCGTGGCAGCTATTTCCGGCTCAATCTGCGCTGGAGTCAACACCGGCGATGGCGTGGGTGGCGTGGGCGCGTGCGGGGATGTTGCGATACTTCAATCATCACAGCAATTGGTATCGATGCCAAGAACTAAAAAAACCGTTAGGTCGCTAATAGCTCAAAAGGTTGAAGCGACCTAAAATAAGCATATTATCTTTCTGTCTTTCGTTATACGGTATTGTCGAAAGTCAAAAATTGGCAATTTTAATATTTATACCTTATATTCAATAGTTCGAAATGCTGAATTAATTTCAGAAATTAAGATTTCTTTACGATATTTGGTATAGTTAACAACAGAATAGTACGGAAGTCTACATATTTGAATGTCAATACCTGATTTTGGAAAGAAAAAAATTGATACATTATTTAATATTGATACTAACAAACGAAAAGAGTAATGAATCGATATTTTAATAAAGATACCTTATTACCAAACATGCAATTTTGATTGTAGAAATAATTTCAAAAATTAAAATGATTTCTTTAAGATATTTGTTATTTATAACCACAAAATAATATCGATGTCGACAATTTCGACTGTCAATACCCCATTTTAGATAGAAAAAAATTGTTACATAATTTAATATTGGTACCAACAAAAGAAAAATGCTCAGAGATTAATATATTGTTATCGAACGTCATATATCCATAAATTTGAATCCAGTGTATATTTGTTTTCAAATCAAAAAAACATTAGGCATTCTACAACGTGTTAAATTTATTTTCGATATTTGTTTTTCGTTGAGAAATATTTCTAATTTTAAAAACTTAAATTATAAGAAAACAGTATGTCTTCTCAGAATATCTAACAATATGCTAAAGGAACTTTATATCACACACTTCAAATGGTAACATAATTACGAAATACTCGAATTATCGTCATTGCCACCCTAGTTCTTTATTGCATGACTTATTCACATATATTAAACAACCTGGGGGAAAACCTAAACCTATCCGTACAGCGATTAAAATAATCGATCATATTACATGCCTCAATAAAAACTGTTTATATTATTTCTCTTTTGATTTTTGTTGATTTATTTTTCCCTTACTGTATGAATTTTGGTATCGACACCTCCTCATCATCAATTCATCACAATAAACATGTCACAACTACCAATCAACACGAATCGGACCATTTGAGTACGAGTGCAGTCGCAACGTCCTACGGCGGGGCGTGCGTGCGTGCGTTGATGAGCGACGGTGCGAGGGTGGCAGCGGCGATCCGAGGGGAGCCTGCGGGCCAAACGCGACACACGTCGCTGGGGCTGCGCATCTCGGGACAACACGTAGTGCAGCCCGTCGGCTGGGAGCACGATCACTAGGAACAACTCAAAATTATGCTTGCAGAGGTTGACTCCAGTGCTATGTAACATCTGAAACAATTGAGAAACACCAGTTTAGAACGAAACAAGAAAAACCGAAAACACAAAGTGAAATAAAGAGAAAAGAAACAACGGTCTTGAAACAACTTGCAAGGCATGGGTAGCCTGGCAGGGAGGGAGGAATGTAGAGCAATTGAGGCATGGACAGGTGCGGGGGATGTGCTGAGGGGGCCTGCCGGGCGGACGGGGCCACGAAGTAAGGCAAAAACGAAACATCATAATCCAGGACTAGCTAGTCTCGAAGAGCTTATATATAAAATGCTAAATATAAGAAAAGGATTAACGCACAAACAATAATTCTACCAACCTGTTTCTGAGCCAACGCTTTGCATTGCTGAAAATTGCCTTCTTCTTCCTGCCTAAAACAAATTAGGCAGCGTCAGAAACACACAATCCACACTTTCTGGGATCGGAGAAAAGGGCGCAGGCGCCCTTGGGGAAGGAAGACAGTGCCCGCGTCTGGGAGAGTGGGTAGGACGAGGAGTGCGTTGGGTGCGGTGCAAGGGGGTGGCCCGGCAAGGCATCAAACTCTAATTGCCTTCACATTTAACACAGGTGGAGCGCCTCTCCGCGCGCGGCTGGTCGCGGTTCGGACGTGGCGTGAACCAGTACAGTGCACTGTGGAGAACGGAGAGAAGTTTAGAGACGAGAGTAGACGGAGAGCAGAGATGAAGCGGAAGAAGGAAAGCGAGAAGGAAGCGGAAGAGAGACTGAGGAAGGAAGGAGCGATGAGAGCGAGGACGGAGAGAGAGAGGAGTCTGAGAAGAGAAACGGAGCGAGAGAGAAGGAGGGACGAAGAAGAGGAGCGAAGAGAAGGAGGAGCGAAGAGAAAGCGGAAGAGAGACAGCGAGAGAGAGAGGAGCGAAGAGAACGATCAGAGAGAGGAGTACGCAGAGGAGAAGGACGAGGAAGAACGGAGAAGAGGAGCGGGAGAGAGAGGGAGAGGGGAGACGGAAAATGAGAGGGAAGGGAGAGAGAGGAGAGAGAGAGAAGAGTGGAGAAGACGAGTCGGGAGAGGGACGGGAATCAGGGAAGAGCGTGTGAAGAGCGGGAGCGTTGAAGGAGCTGGCCGACAGGGGAGCTGAGGTGGGTAAGGCCACACGGGGCGGGGCATTGCCGAGCGAGCGTAGTGGGGAAGGGTGGACCGGGGCAGTTCAGAGTGGGACCTGAAGTGAGAGATAGAGCTAGGAGTGGTTGGAGCGGGGCGGAGCTGATACCAACGGGGAGGAGGAGCGGGGTGGAGCGGGATGGAATGAGGTGAAGCAGGGCGAGGATGGACTGACCGGGTCCGTAGTCGGTGAGCCATGGTAGTGCGGTGCGGAGCTACACTGGACGAAGCCAGGTTGAGTAGGACTGAACTGTGAGGGGAGGGTCGGTATGGTATGCAATGCAGGGTGAGAGCGAGAGGGCCGGGCTGAACAGGGCCTGGCGGAGCTGAGCGGGACGAGACGGACGAAGTGGGGCTGAGAGAACTGGGGCGGTGCGAATCGAGGCGAAGCGGGGCTGTCCCTGGCTGGGCGTGGAGTAGCAGGGCGGGCAGGAATGAAACCAGGGAGCAAGGGGAGGGGGAGGGAAACGAGGGTGTTTTTGTAATTCATTAACGAACGTCTCGCTGGCTCCCTCGGGGCGGCGGCCGCGAGTGCACGTGCCTTCCGTCGTGTTGCAGCGCTCCGTGTCCGCCGCCGCGCTGCGGCCGCCGCCAAAGAGAGGCGCTTAAAATGGAAACTCATGACTGATGATAGGATTGCGACATGAACGCGGGATAAACAGGGATTGTGTGGGCGGATGAACAGCAGTGGTTTTTCAGGCGGCCGAAATGATATATTTTCTGATGCGTATTTCCTATCGAGTGACGGGCCAAAAGAAATCTGTCATTGCGCATGCGGTACAAGTTTTAATGGCATCCGTACCCCTTCTCGTGGAACTGCCACACCTGCAGCCTTAGGCATGCGCACAGTGGAGGGGGGCAGGTGGGACCCTGACACCCTGAAAATTTTGAAAAAGAACCCGTGGCGCCAAGAACCCGAGTTTGGTTTTATTACGAACAACCATTTTCCACTTTTTCAGCTGACAATTTGGAGAATCGATTCACAATATTTCGAGAAGAGTCTCTCCAAAGCTTCTGGCAATTCTGTAAATGGTTGAAAATAAAAGCAGCAGTAATTTACATTTATATCAATAAAGTTAAGATTGCTTTCCCTGCATTATATTTTACCAATTTCCTAGTAAATATTCCATATGTAAATAAATTATACGTTTAATAGACAAGGGGTCTCGGAGGCGCCCAGAAATGTAATTTGGTTTCAGCCTTTGCATGTCTATATTTGCAGCCAATGCAGCGCAATCAAAGGATGGGCTAGTTATCAACGTTCGCACCAGAAAAATGCGGTAATCGCAGTACACTGTGTCCGTTCCGTATTGTGAAAATTACTAACTAAGCTCCATTCGCTTCGAGAAAAAACTTCGCTTTTAAGAGTGTTTTTTACACGAGTTTATCAAGTAAATCAATAAAAATTATGATTTAAAAGCTTACTGAGGAGGTGCAGATGACTGATCAAACTGAAAACACGATTTATGAAATATCACAGGACAGAGCCCTCATTCATTTATTTATGTGGGATTGAATGAAATTTTCAGACTTATAGCTATCTAAATAAATGGCAAACAGTTACATTTAAATATTCATATTGTATAAGTGATATACATTTACGTGGTATAAGCACAATAAGCAACAACTCTATGATATTATAGAGAGAATTCTCAATAAGTTTTCTGAACTGCAACAAATTTAAGTGAGGTTGAGTGAAATTATGAAAAGGGGATGGATGTACAATAACGGGTATGTAACATGCTTTAACATTTATATTATATGAATTACAAAATATAATGGTTTGAAACTCCAAACTTATTGTAATAGGGGGTACAGAAAACAATTTGAATAATTAGCATCTTCTTAGAACCAGTAATTAAGGTGATGTTCCACAATTTATATTTTAAAGTCTGAATAGATCTCCGGTGACAAAGTCACAATACTTGTCACTATATAATACTTTATTTGTGGGTATTTTTACTCATTCACAAACTCACTACCTCTTCGGAACTCCAAATTGCCCAGAATTTTTCTCTCCAATGGCTGTTTTGCTCTTGCTTCCAAACTTCGAACTAAATGAAAATTCTGAATTTGCAGGTCCCTCGAGAAGACGAATGATAAATCTAGTTTTTGTTTCCAACAGTGATTTATGGGGCCTGGCGGGGAAGAATTTCAATTGAATTACATCTGGTTGGGTGGATAGTAAGTGCCAACACAGTAAAGGATCTCTAGGTAAAGTTATTTGCCCTAAAGGCAGGTCATGGAACAGCAAAGTTATCGTAATGAAATTGTACGATAGCTTTGTCTTTTGTAGAGTATATTATGGAAGAGAATTTCCGTTCATCATGAAAATTAATATTGGAAATCGAAACAGACAATGTTCGGCAATTTAAAAAGAAGACGGGGGCCTAAAATATGTATACAGACCCACCCGGAAGGGCAATAATATTGACTGTTCTCTAAGATGTCACAGAAAATAAGAAAGTGGTCGCTAGAAACTACTTGGTGATGTGTTTGGGAGAGAAGTGAGTTATAGATGAGCTGATGACGGACACAAACGGGTCATGAATGAGACACGAATGGGTCGTGTGTCACAAATGGGTCACGTTCATTGTCAAAAAGTTACCATATTCGATCCCCTTACATGCCTTTGAAGCATATTTAATCTAAACCTCTATTCAATTCAGTTACGCCTTATTTTCCGCGACGGGGCTCAAGTGTTGTGGCCTGCTCTTCCGTTTGACTACGCAAATTCCGCTACGCCCCTTTCACCGAGAAGAGAAAAGGTAAGGTTTTAGAGAAAGAGGTATCATTCGGGCGATGAAATACGTGATTTGAATTCTACTCAGGGACTTCTTTTGCGCTTGAGGGTATTTTACATGCAGGAAAATTACCACATGCGACGGCCGGCTTTACTTCCCCTCCGAAGAAAGGGGGTACGAAGGGTTTTTTCGCTCTTAAAGACGTAAATGTACAGCTTGTCCTCCCCTCTTAAAATGTTACTTCTCTAAATGTATGTTAATTCAGTGGTTAGGCGGAAGAGCAGGCCCTATGGCCTGAGGCTCGCCATTAATAAAGACATTATTAT